TAATAATTTACCCTCCCTTATTAAAAATAATTCCTTTTGCTTACCTTTTCTGCATGCATGAGAAATAATTAAAAAATACTGTACCTTCTGAAGTGGCCTCTGTCTTTCTAGACTTAACAATATATATTCCAAAAAAAAAAAAAAAAAAGGAAGCTTGAAGCTTATATTTATATAAATTTAGATGAGTTGCCTTTTTAATATTGCTGTTCTGGTTATTTCACAGAAACTTACACAAATCTGAGGAGGTAATGTTATGTCAAGGTGCTTTGAACAAAATGGGTTCACTCGTTAATGGAGAAAGATTACAAAGAGATGTCCTCATGTTTTCTTTTAGACTTTCTAAGCTCATAGATAATAAGAAGGCATTTGTGTACATGATATGGCAGAAATATAATCTGTTCTGTTTAACAAATTTGAAACCAGTGTCCAAATATAGTTTTTTCCATTTCTATACAATATTGCAAGAAATATCCCCCTGCTCTTGTTCGTGTGTTATTATAGCATTTTAGCTTGTCAGCTGATCTAAAAAGAAAGATTTGACTCTTACATCAAGATTTTCCAGAGATTTTGAAGTAGTTCGACTTATGCTTAAATGATAAGATAGTAATCTGTCCTGCCAATAAAAATATAGTAAGAAGGACAGAATACCTCATACTCATACTTCCGATAATGGCAACGGAAATGCCAGGGTAGAGACTGGACTCAACTGGCATTGAAATGATTGGGGAATAAATACAATAAGAACATAATCCTCATGGTTATCTATTTCTCACATAATTTGGAAATGGCATTCTGTGTTTTGTTGTCATTAAGATCCACTTAGAAATGTGTTCTACTCTTGCCCATTCCCCCTACCTTTAAAACAGCATATAAACCTTTAAAAGGGAATCAAGGCACCTTGATAAACTGTGCATTAATTCCTTTTCTGCCTACTGTTAACATCTGAGTGATTAATAAAAAGAGAATTCATATGTAGAGTAATATATGAGCTTCCTTTTGCAAGAATATTTATTGTTAAACAAGAAGAAAGAGACTATTTCAGGAGATATAGTACCCACCCATATCTATTTCCTCTCTTCATGCATCAGAAAAATTATAGCAGCTTGAAGGCTGACCTGATTATCTCTTTGTCCTTGAAAGTTTGACCTCTACATTAGTTGCAGAAAATACCAAACACAGCAAAAGAGCAACATTGGTAATGTTACAAGCACATAATTTAGTTGAGGAATCTTGAATGAATTTTAATGGCCAGATAGCTAATACAGTCTGTGATTTTTATCCTTTTAATTCTCAAATGGTCTTTAATAAGAATAATGGGATGTAGAACATTGATCATAAGGTGGGAGCAGAGACTAGGGAGGCTGTGACATATATTCACACACACACAGGTTTACAACCCAGTACTATACTTGTCTACTTAGAAGTACAACCTACTGAGTTCCATAAGGCATATCCCCAGGTAGGTGTCTATAGGAATAGAACTTCAGGGGTTGGTGATATACGATACCATTTCCACATTAGGCCTTTAATTCTCACAGGTCTCCTCCAAAAACAGTTACACACTACTTCACATTACCAAATCCCTCCATTTCTGTATAATAAATGTCATGAAATCTATGCATGGAAAGTCAGGTTTGATCAGGTTAGATGAACTTTTTCTTTGTGTATCATGGCATACAAGGCCTAGTAGTGAAATGTAAAAACTGTATGCTTTGGTACCCCTTTCAGCACACATTGGCTCGAACACAAGACTTCTCAATGGAGCTGCTTCACATCTTCAGGTGAAAGTTATCACAGGATGTCATTGCACAAAGAATATGGCCATACAACAACATGGTATAATCACACAGCAGGAAAGATCAGACACAACTGTTTAAAAAAGAGAGGAACGGGCACTCTCAGCAAGGCTGTTCTGTTCAACAACCCAAAGTCAGATGGCACATAGAATGTATGGGCTTCCTTTTCCATTATGGATTATAGAAATCTGACTGCTGTTGCTTCTCCAAGATGCTTGGCAGAGAGGCCATTTCTGATCCTGCTACATGATATCCTTTAACTGTGGAGGCTGGGCATTGAAACTTTATATAAAGCAGGTGCTCTACCACTGAACTTTCAGACTTTTAAATACACTGATTGGCTTGTAACTACAGATTGGATAGTGAAAAGTAGTTCTATGTGTAGCAGAAAGGCCCTTTTAGGTGAGAGAATGTACAACAGTGTTTCCAAGGTACACTGCAGATGCACAGCATGAAGGTTTGATTGACTTCTTTGTTTCCATAAACTGCTCTGTAAACAAGTGACATGGAGTGGATGAGTTTTCAAGCTGCAAATATGACGTTACTTGTCTGCCTATCTGTGATTAAAATCAAGATCAACAAACATGCTTTTTGATTAATGCTGTCAGGAAACTCATTTCCACCAAAGCCATCTTCTACCAGTAAACAGTTCAACCCGAATTTGTTTCTTCATGTCAGAATGTCATATTGCTGAACTGTCACAACTTTAAGACTGTTGTGTAAGTGCTGTCCCAGCTTCAGTTTAACATGTGCAAGGGAGTCTTCATCCTCTCTCTCACATATAGAACTGTGTGGCACATTAGGCATATTTTAGGCATAATTTCCCCTTCTCTCCTATCTCTTCTAATTATTCTATTTACTTTTTCGAAAATACAAGTTGTCTAGTTCCTTGAATGTTCTTCCAATGTCCAGGATGCCCCAATACTGACAGAGCAATTACCAGCAACTGCACTTGAGATAAGTAACAACTGAAACATCAAATTAATATTTTCATGTATGCTTCATGGAACTATTTTATACTTGTAAAAATAGCAGCTATTTAAGTAATGATGAGGGAGAAACCAAACCAATAGAATGCCAGTCTTCAGATACTGATGTCACAGATACTGATAATAGAAAAAGGAAGAAGACACAGAAGTATTACAGATCTTGAGCATCTGTGTGAAAGGTACCCATTATAGGTAATGCTACCTGCATGGTAGAGGTGAGGGATGCTGGTCTTATTGCATGCAGAGTCTCATTGGACTGGTCTGAGCTGGGTATATGTGTGTGTATAAAGTTTCATTTCAAAGGAAAACAGCATTGGTGCAGATGGAAAGAGGAATAAAAGAATGAAATGTAGTATCTTTATGTTTGTTCCCATTCTACCTTGTGCCAGTAATTTGCTGAGAACAAGTTCATTGATGCCTAATATGGAATGTCAGCCTTGTGGAGCATGGTTATATCACCAGTGGCCAATGTCATTAAACCAAAGGTGCAAAAGCAAGCTACTAAGGAAAAAAACCCAAACCATTGTGGAGGCCTGCTTTTAGATGCACACAGAAATGCTGCAGTGAAGTGAGGGAACAGGATAGGAATATGAATGACCTGAGAGGCAGGTTGGGTGAATGAAGGAAATAAGAAATATGAAGCCCTATTTTGAGCACCACCCTTGAAAGAGCTAAACTGCACAAACAAAAAAAAAGGGACAGCTTTCTTTTGGATAATTAAGGACACTGAATTAATGGGTTATTTCTTTCTAAAATTGCCTCACTTCACTAGGCTTTATGAACTGTGTTTCCTGAGTGCCACAGTGGAATGACACAGGTGGGTAGGTAGAGAAGCCATGGCTGGGCAAGTCTGACAGGAACTCCAGCATGATGGAGGCTTCCCTGCCTACCCAGCTCCTCCACTGCTTTACTGGATTAGGAACAAGAGAGGAGAATATGAGGGAAGGGAGCAGTGCCTGATTGGAGGAGCAACCACAGAAAGTGGTTGGGTCCACTAAAGTGGGAAAGACACCTAGCCATTGTCCTTCCTGGTACAGCCTCAGAGCTTGCATTTATGTGCATCTGTTCAGGGCTTATGGCTTTTTTAGACAATGGCAAGACCCTTTGGTTCCACTTCTTTTTAAAAAAGAGGTAAATTGGGTATCATTTCTGAAAGTGAAATAAAACACTGTTTCAACTTGTGTATTTCTGTCATTCTGTTATACCACAGTGCCTCCTAGAGGGTATATCACAGAGAAGCATGGGGAAAAAATAGAAAGAATGCTAGCAGCTTTGCATCTGGCACTGGCCCCACCACCAATGGTTCATGCCCTGCCCATTGGTTCATGCCTCAGCTTGCCAGCCCCAGCAGATCACTCCCAAGGAAATGCATCCCTCAAAGGAAAAAAATACAGATGTTCTGTAATGTAAATGCTTTTATTTGGGGAAGGGTACTTGGGGATGAGTGAGGACAACTGCATTTGCGAAGGAGGCATCTGCATGACTGGTGCCAGAGGGTGGTTAGATAGGCTGAAATGAGTGTGACATTTTCAAGAGACAATATGATAGCAAAGACGCAGATAATTCTCAGCCAATAACTCAAGCCCAGAGAGAACTCTCTGGAGCCCTTGAGGAGTTTCCCTCCTCAGCCTTGCTGAAAAATTGAAAGAAGCCATTCAGAACTGAAACAACAATAGTTCACTCTATACTAAAAAAGAAGAAAAAGCAGAACTAAATTTGTTACATGCATATCAATGCAAGTTACTTATACTAGAACAGTACAGATTTGATGAATCTATAATATGCATATGACTATGATCACCTGCCTTGTCAATGTATGGGAATCATAGCAGGTATTTATTCGGGTTTGAGGTAATGTGATCTATTAAGATTTTTCTTCTGCTATTCTCTTTGGATGCTTCCACCATGTCTTAAAGTAGGGGTGCTAAACCATTCTCAGCTGAAGGACCAAATTCACTTTTGCAGAAGCTCTTCAGGGCCATATTAAGGGGTGTTTCAGCCATTTAGGTGGGAGGACATGCCCATAAAGCTTCCAAATATTTAGTGGTTTAAAGTTAGAAGGTGGGTCTACTGGGGAAAGTGAGTGAGTCAAATTTGTATTGCAAACTTGAGGTTCATAAATAATCTGGGACAGCTACTGGATACAGCCCAACACATTTCTATCATGAAGCTACCCTTGTGATCAATCCATTAAATTGGAGAAAAATCAACTTACCCATGAACTTGGGAGATCCACATCTGTGAGAGAGCAAGTAAGACGGGGATGATGAGAACAGCACGTACATTTTTCCCATCCCTCTATCCTTGTGATAAAGAAATCACAGGGACATAGTTGATTATCAGGGAAGGGCTTCCAGTCACTCCAGAGCTGAAATTCAGTTTCTGAACGGATGGAAATATTTCCTAAGTTGTTCAGTCTGGAAGTGTATGATCTGCCCAAAGAAGCAGAGATAAAGTCTGTCCTGGTCTCCATTTCTTCCTTTCTCCTTGTATTTTCTTTCAATATTTTTTTATCCTGGGATTTGGTTAATTTTATACATGATGTTGGAACTTCATCCTCATCTTCAGAGAGATAAACATCTTGTGGTGGTGGATCTTTAAAAAGTTTTTCAAAAGATTGTTTTTTAAAACATTATATTATTTCCACTTCCCACCCAAAAAATAATAAAGAAGGACAGTATGGATGAAGCAAATTTGAAATAAACAGTGTGCAGTGTGGAAGGACAGACTGCTCTGGGAGCAGAGCAGATGCTATGAACTCAACTTTTTATTTTTAAGTAGCAGTGTGTGTGTTTATTTCTGAGGTACTCGTCTTGTACCAGTTACATGCCAATCATACACCCCTATAATGTACCAAACAAATATAGGTCTAACAATAAATTCCATGTCAGTCATGAAGAATCATGACTATATGGCTGATTCAGTGATAATTGGGAGAATCCATCCAGGGATGATTATACGGTTTAGGACTAGAGATCCAATATTTTATATACATATGGCCACATTTGGAAGAACAGTTTTTACCTGGATGGCTGAGGAAGGGCATCCAGGCCGAGAGGCAGAATGCTGCTTCAGCGCCACAAAATGGGCTGGATTAGCACTTTCAGGTATTGTCTGATCCAGCTCACAAATATTGTCTTGCTGAAGCAGAACACACCCTACCCTGTCTCAGAATGCACAGATTCATTATGCTTGGGAGACACTGTGAACAACCCAGTGCAAAGCATATTGAGACAGCACAATGACATTTACTGTAAGTAAAAGATGGCTTTTTGTTGTGTAATTTATCAACATACTCTGGGGAACATGGTGGCGCAGTGGCTTATGGATGCCGGAACTGCTGATCAGAAATGCTCAGCACTCCAGCAGTTTGAGGCCATCCTCACGGGATGGAGTGAACTCCCATAAGCCGCCCCTAGCTCCTGCCCACCTAGCAATTTGAAATCATATCATCTGTAAGTAGATAAATAGGGACCAGCACTCCTCCGTGGGAAATCTGCTGGCTTCATTCTCAATACAAGCAAGCTCTGATGCTGGATCTGCCAGGACCAGCTTGGAAGAGGATTGGCAGAGAAAAGCCCCAGATAAACTGACTTCAATAAGAGAGTCACTAGCCAACTGATGCTATGCTAGTTTGTCCCCCTCCCCATGGTGCACCAGCATAATAACAGAGTAGCAACTGCAGGTGCAAGAACATCTACTATGTGTAACACATTGTCGACTCCCTTGCAACATATGCCATACACTATATAAAAATAAATAAATCTACATACTCTACTCATTTGCTGAAGCTATGTTGAAAGCCAAACTGAAAGCCAAATGGAAAACTGAGCAACTATCTGCACACACAGATTCAAACTATGTTTCTTTACTTACTGAGAGATACCAAAACATCCTTGATGTCGTCCAAGCTGTGTATACTGGCTTTCTTCGTTCGGACTAATTTCTGCAGCCGTTTCAAGGTTCCCATAGTTTCAGCTTTATTTTCATCAGTTTCTGCAACCTGGGTTAGTCAGGAAACAAATGGCAAAAATATGTTAAAGTTTGCCCTCTTGGTCTTTCCTTTTAAGAAGCAAAGTAGTATTGTTTCACTTCTTTATAAATAAACTCTGACATGACTCTGAAATGTTACAGGGGCACTACAAAAATTATTAATTAAATCAGCTTGCTCACTGATGCAATAGCAGCAGGATTGATTGAAAGAGTAGTTCTAAAAGGGCAACCTGAAAAATTGCCTGGTAGAAAGGGCTGAAGAATAACAAGTCTGTGTTCTATATGAATCCTCTTGGCCTTCAGTGTGATGTAGTGCTGTGAAAATGCCCACTACAAATGTTCCTGGATTGGCTACAGTCTCTTGTTACATTCCTAGTGGCATGACACAATAGCCTTCTCACAAGCTTACTTGAAAATGTGGCTTCAAAAGAGGATAAAAGTCAGAGTGGGCCTTTAGCATACAAAGAACAATGGCAGCCTACAGAGGTAATGAGCACAGCATTTCTGACCTCCTTAATTTTTGACAGCATATGACACCAGTAAGAGATGTTCCAGTACTGAAATGCAACTAATCATTTCATCACAAACAACATGAGAGCATGACTGTGCCATGTGCTATTCGTTTACTATTTATTCATCAGTGATAAAAAAATGTTTGCCAGAAGCCTGACAAAGTTCAGAAGCTGTGTACACTGGCAATCCCCACCCTCTTGCTTTAATTCTCTCAATTTATTTATTTAATTTAAAAATTTTCTATGCCATCCCTTATGCATGGCATCTCAGGATGGCCTACAATCATTAAGAATGGCTTACAATCACAATCATTAAAGACGGCTTACAATCATAGTGAGCCAGGGCTGTCATCTAGGATAGACATCGCTGGACAACCATTCAAGGCTCAGAGAGGCCACATGCCAATCACTATGGCCTAGATAGTGATGAGGAAGAGCAGGAAGAACAGCAAATGCCACGGCCTGCTTGCTCATTGACTCTCTGCCTGCCAACCAAGCAGATGGTAGTAATAGTGAAAAAAGGGGTAAGGAACAATACCAGCTGGTAATAATGGTTGTGAGAAGGCTGAGTCACCGCAAAAGAGGGGGTTATGAAGGTTGGTATCTTGCCTGAAGGTCTCATAAACCTAGAACTAGCATTGTAGAGGAGCATTATCTTGAGAACTTCCACACTGATAAAACCCACAGATCAATTGAGGAAGTAAAATATCTCCTGGAGACCAAAGCTTTCTCTATGCACCATATCCAGTGCAATAAATCTAGCTGCTAGCTCCATAACCTTTCCTAGCTTCCAAGTTTGCTTTTTTGTCTTCACTCCTCACAATTTGAAGACATTGCTGTCATTCTTGCCTGCCTGCCTCCTGCCTGTTTCTCTCATTCTGTGTACAGCACTCTCTGCAGCTTGGTTTTTCTGCCCTCTCCAGGGTCTTAACCCCAACCATTTCTGAAACACTATCATCAATTTCCAGTGAAGGAACATCGGGAATAATCCAGGCAATGTCTCTGCACTCTCATACCTTCTTTCACAAGTCACACAATTGGGTAACTTGTTTTTTATTCTCAGTAGACCTGTCTTCCATAGAATAAAAATATATCCTTTTGAAAAAGGATGGCTGGTGAAGTCGTGTTCTCTGCCTATAGGCACATGTTGAATCCAAACTAGGATGTTCCATTAGAAAGGAACCTCCAGTCTTTGGGCCTAATTAGTCCACATAACCTTTCCATTATCCTCTGAGCTTTCATGGATGCTTCCAGGAGAAGGCCAGGCCTAGAACTATCCCTGCTGTTTTCTCTAACTACAGATCAGAATTAAAAGCAGGAGAAGCAGTTGTTGAGACTTGGGTAGCACTGAGAACTGGCTAAGCATGTTTGCTCACTGCCACTATGGGGGTGATGTGCAATGTTCAAAGCCACACACCTGTGTGGTTCATTTGCACCTCCCTATAGTTGTGCAATAGAACATACAGGATGGCAGAGAAAGAAACCTTCAGGGCAGGCGAAGACTTGTGAAAAGGAAGCGTTTATCCTCCCACAAAGAAAATAGAAGAAGCCCCAGTAAAGCATAGGGTTAAATGTTTCATTCAGAGAAGCTCTGCTTGACAATATTTCTGATGCAAATGTCTAGATAGCCATTACTGGGCAGAGAAAGGATGTTTTCATGGAACAATCAACTCTAGGGAATATGCTCTCAATGGAAGAGATTAGTGTAATCTGTAATAGAGCAAATGTAAAGGTTGTGAAATAAACATTTTGTCAAACAAAACCATAATTTTCAGAGTGTGCAAATCATATAAAGGATGGTTTGGCTTAGAAAATAGGCAAACTGTAATGGAGAAAAGATTACAAAAGAATAAGATCCTGAGATGTAATATAACATTGCAGATAGTGGTAAACCAAGCATGACTTCCTAAAATAAAATAATGATTTTACATATCTAAGAAGTTTTCAGCAGTATACTGCTTGCAATGTGAAAAACAGTCTAAAAATTTTCATGTAATTTAATTTTATTTGATGCTATCCTTAGCTGGTGCATGCTGATATGAATCAAGTTATGTTTGAATTTATAGTATGGGAAAATATGAAATTTCAGTTCAGTCAGTACTGAAGCAAGTTGCGAAAGGCCACATTTGAGGGGAAGCTTTTTATGTTTGTTCAAAATATCAAAGCAACTTGGTTTTCTGTAGTACAATAGATGCCATCACAAAGCTGCTCTGTTCATGAAAGGAAAGTTCCACAGAGATAGCAGTGGTGTCCAGGAGTGGGAAAAGTCCTTGCATGAATGGGGGCACCTTTTGTTATGCAGTGAAAACAGTGGAAACCACTTCACCAAAAAGGCTTAACTGTGAAGTAGCTTCTTAATGCATACCATACAATAATACATGCAGAAATGAAGATCATGACATTATGTATCTAGAATTCATAGCTACAGACTCAAGTAGTGCAGTGCTTTAAACATATGCCCATATCCACCTTTAATCCAGAACTTTATGTTAACGTCAAATCAAAACCAGTCTTTCTCTTGGAAGCCTTCCAACTGAGGTTCCAAATGAAGTGACAGAGTTTCCATTCATGAAGTTATACGCATGGGGGACATTGGTTCTCCTCAGACCTGACTTGTGTGATATAAGTCTACAAATATGCATCAAGCCATTTAAAATGCTAGCAATCAAATCAGAAAATACTTAGCAGTCAAGCTGCACAGATACCATTATTAACTGGGACTACCAGGCTCATGTAATTTGGACAGAGTGAGAGATCTGAACTTGCGTTTCAATTGAGTGGGCATCTCAAAGTAAAACTGCATATAATCAAGTCAAACTATTTGACTAATGGATGAAGTGTAATCCTTTTGTTTTATAAGCAGTTAATGTGGAAAGCAAAAGCATTTTATGTTTAGCTAAAGTAATGTATCCAAAATAATTAATATAGTGGCTACGTTTTACATAAAACACCATGCAAACTATATTAATGAAAAGGATGCTTTTCCAAAGGCTTGCAGTGTTATTTTTTGCTTTCATTAAGCAAAGCACCAAAATCCTATGGGGCATCATGCTCAAATGTCACTAAGTTTCTATGATCTAACAAATCAAATGACAATTTGACACAAAAAGGATTCTGAAAACTCTCCACTCATCACAGCAACCTTGTTTGCACGATCAAAGAGCAGTTGATAAGTCTGGGTGGCTTGCCAGCCACCCATGTGTGCTGGTCACATGCCAGGGGGGATTAGCATAATCATCCTCAGCAGCGTGGCTTGTCATGTCGTGCAGACCTGGCCAAGGTGGCTTGTTGCTGTGGATAACAAGCTGTCCCACAACACTAGAGGGGCCCACAGGTAGCCTTTTTCCCCAGCTGCAATCACGTAAAAGAGCCATCAAATATGGGGAGATAGACAAAGTACCAGCTGTTTGTACAGAAGGCAGTAGCTAGTGGACAAACATTTATGAATACACGTTTTCTCAGTTGTTCCTGCCATTTTTTCTGAGGCACTCAGGATTCCAAGGTAAGCATCACTGTACCTTAGGGCATGTTCACATAACAGTGGCAGACTTTATCAGATTGGCTATCATATGGAAACTATGCCCCCACAGATGTTATTTGCTTATTGGTTTATGCTAGAAAGAGAATTAACAAAGAAAATATATTATTGCATCTCACCATATTGTTGGATGCACTTGAAACATGATTCTGAGGTGGAATCCATTGTTCAAAAGTCATTACCTTGACCGCAAAACAGTAAACAGAATGTATCAGGGATGTTATTTTTTCTGTGTGATAAAGCAAACAACAGGAATTGTACCAGTAAAATCAAGATATGAAATTAATTAAAATAAATGGAGTGCATTTAAAATAGCAGGATACAGGTAATATAAACTAGTCTATTTTTTCTCAATTTTTTGATATTAAAGTATTTAATTATGCTATTATTTAGCAGTTCGTATAGTTAAATAATAAGGAAACTATAGAATAAATGGCAGAACTAAACTAACTTTGAAAATCACAAAATAGCATAATTTTGCATCTCCTGAATTGATTTTAAAGCAGATTTCTCTCAGTCTGTAAAACCTCAGAGTTCTCAGGTAAGTGCTGTCAGAACAGAAAAATGCTGTCAGAACAAGGAGGCCAAGAATAACGTTGAAAAGAAGATTTTAGTACCATATACCTTGTGGTGAGCTGTGCCCATTAAAACTGTTTTACCTCACAGGTTTATCTTTGGCTATCCTTTGTTTAGGTTTAAAAGTGACTTAAACCCAAGACCGCTACAAGTCAAGTCCAAACAAGAGATAGCACCACTCCTGTGAACATTATCTACATATGAAATCCTCCTCTAAAATGCATTATGAGGGTGCCATTCACGGCAGATGCAACATATGTCTGTTTTGCCAATAGTAACTTCAAAAGTTTTTACTTTACAGATGAGAACGACAGAATTGGAAGGAAATGCTTCTCCCTCTCTTCCTCCCTGTGGTTGCCATGGCTGGGTACCTACTGGGGGACACAACTGTGGCTGGAAGCCACTGCCCAAACCTTGCTGCAGCCATCCATCATCCCCATCACCACTTGCTCCCTCACCTGCCCCTTTGGTCTGGCCAGAAATGCATCTGGAGGCCGCATGGAGGAGAAACTGAAGCCACGGACCACTACTTGACAGTTCTTTCCTCAGTGAGGGAGCGGGCAGTAGGTTTCAGGAGCAGTAATAGCAACTACTGGAGTCAAGGCGACCAAGGCCCCTACAGACAGTGGGTCCCACTAGGGGAGTGCCAGGGGGCCTCCAGAGCCTGAAGCTGGCATCGCCCTATGGCTATCTTCAGCCAGGACAGCTTTGCTTCCATAACTGTAACTAGATCTAACAGCACAGCATTTGGCTTATGAAGAAGAAAGGAATCCCCTTTTAGTTTCTTTTAATTCTCCCACAGATTTCTGAGACATCAATAACTGCAGCATCATTAGCAACACCTATTTCGACTTTGTCTTCTTGTTCCTTGCTGTTCAGCAGCTGATGAATCATTAATTACTTTTATATTATTATGCACAGGCCCAAGGGTCAGGCTTCATTAATTGCTCATACTAGTGGGTTAATTAATGTAGTCTTCTGAAGAAGAGTGCCTGGAGACACCATATATGTTTATAAAAATTGAGAAACATTCTGGACACATACGCCAAGCTGGAGTTTGCCAGATTGATCGAAGCACTTAGTATAGGTCTATGTCAGATAAAATTCCAGCAGACTTATTTAATGACACCCTCATTACCCGCCCCCGCCCCCATGAAAGGCATATAAAGTAGTATCTTGCTGAATAAAAAGAAGTGAATCAAGAGGGATGATATGTAGATGCTTTACTTAGTTCACCAGATACACACACAACTAGTATAATTGTGACATACTTATAGAAGTTTGGTCTTTGGCCAGTTATCTTGAAGCAGTTCCCTATTTGCATTCACTTGGAAGAGAAATGGAATAATAATAACAAGAATGATCTGAACAGCTTGTTCCCCCTGCCCCCACTTCAAACTGTTCTTTCTTTAGATCCTTTGACTCAGTACATGCAGAAAAGTGAGAAGATCTATGTCTGTTTATGACACTTGGCAGCTTTCATACGGGGTGCTTGTGACCACTGGTAAACAGTGACATCATGGCAAATTTTGAAGTACAGGCACTCATCATGACAGTCCCCACAGCCACACCTGCAAAATGAGTCCGAAATTGCAGGCAGCTTGTATTGATCAATATCAACAAAGCAATTCTTGCTGTCTTCCTCTCCACTAGGAGCCTTTTTGGGGGGTTGGGGCCAATGCAAATAAATAGTTCTTAATTGCCCATTCAAGACCAGGCCACCAAAAACATTTTGCATTATATTAGGGAATGTTTTCAATTTGTGAATGGGTGGTTTTTAGGCATAATTTATGAATGCACAGATATATGTCTACTTTTGCTAAAGTTTATGTATAAATATTATACATAATTATGTATAAATATTATTATCCCTAATAATAGTATTATATTTTGCTATGCATAACATTCATAATGACACACCATATATATGCATTCACTGTGACTGATTAATTGAAAGCTCATGTAAGAAAAATGTAATAATTTGTTTATTTTGGGGTTTGGTTTTGATTCTGAAATGTACAATATAATTTTAATTTTTAAGAAGCATTACAACAGGGAACAATATCTTGCTGCTGGAATATTCATGTTGCCCCAGCTGGTATGAAGACAACTCAGAGAAAACAGGGGATTTGGAAGGGGTTGGTAATTAATATCAGCATCCCCACTAATCAAATAGTGCTTCTACTGCATTGCTATGAGTCATTGCTCTCCTGTTAGCAAATTCACAAACTAGGTCATGTGGATTGTATGTACAAGCACATGTTGCAGAAGCATCTAAACCACGATCGCTGCGATGTACAAGAACACTGTGACCAAAGAAAAAACACCAGTTTATTACAATTTGTAATAGACATTCCCTATATTACAATTGGTTTGATCTAGATTTAATCATGGAACTTAATATATTATTGGCTTATGTATGGGTAGTATGGCTAAGCCTGCAAGGATGCCACTGCATTCAGGATCGCACCCTCACTATGATAGAAATAAAAATTTTCACCTAAAGGCCTATTTTGCATCACAGTCTGCACTGAGCTTAGGACACATTATCCTGGCTGCTTTAGTTTTCTACTCTTTCAGATTCTAGAATGGCAGCCCTGTTTGTCCAATGCAGCAAAAACAAGAAAAAACATGACTGTGAAAATTATTATGGCAGGAGCATGCCTAGCTTGCAGTCAATGTTACCTGACATGTTGTTTCTTCTATCCTTGTTCCTTGTAGTAAATGAAACCTTTCACCAATAAGAAGATCTTCTTTTATCTCTGTTGTGGGGTAAGGTGAAATTAGAAAAACTGAGATTAGCTTTGAGAATTACAAAATTACCAATATGATTACTATAAAAAACTGAATACGTGTTTTAAAACTGTTTGAAAGGAAAAAAATCATGTAACATTAATGACGAGTGAATAATATATGCATATATGACAATCTTTAAAATGTTAATAATGGAGAGGTTGGATGCACACATATGCATACCTGTTTTAGTGTATTTTCCTGATTTCTCTGGGCTTCTTTCCTTGAGTTATTGCAACCTGTCAGCTTTAAAAATATTAATTGCTTCTTTGGTATGCTGTAGGTGTTTAAGACAGCTGTGCTGGTGGTGACACTAAGAAGGTCAGAATGTATATGTTCTTTGACCATGGTATATGTATTCTTTCATTTTTCATCTATCATCATGAGCTTTCCATGTTTGGAATTAAGGTTCTACTTGCGTCTTTACTTATTAATTCTGTTTTGTTTTGTGTAGATCATATGCAGACCATTAAAAAACCCCCATGCTATTCTGTAACAGTTCAAACCTGAGCTTTCTTACTTGCAACTGGGTCTTGATGTCTATGGAATTTGTAACCAACCAAGTAGGTTTACAGTCTGCCTCAGCAATTCCATAGCCCACTTTGTAGGAAGAAGGAGAAAGAAAGAGAGAAAAGGGGATGGCAGAAAGAGAAAAGGACTGACAAATACACTTTTGGCTTCGGGTCTGCCCAATGCTGGTCCTGGCCTTGCTCACCACTGATGCCAATATGCAGAACCGGACAGATAAGGAAAGGGGGGCTTCAGCTGGGGACTTCCTTTCTTTGAACTGAAGGTACGACTGTTCTAGAGAAGATACGTTACTCTCCCTCAAAATTTCAGAAACTGTTTTGTTAGCTTTTATTAGATTTTTTAGAAATGGAAAGATACTATTCTCCAAAATGTTAACTCTAAATATGCTCAGTCTTAAAACAAAACTCCATGTTCATCCATGTATCAATATCAACAACAACAATGTACTTTTATTATATGCCACTTTTTATTTTATGGAATTCAGTCCAGGCTGTGATCAAAGCCATCCTTGTATAATGTACTCTCTTCAAGAAGACAGTACAGTAATGGTCATGACTCCATTAAGTTTGTGTCATTAATTCATTTTTAATAGCCATCCAGTTCTCTTTATTTATTTACTCACAGTATTTTTATCCTGCTGCTCAACCAAAACCAAACCAAACCGGCTCCAAACCAAACCAAACTGGCTCCTATTTTTATCATTCAATAAAAATAAGACAGTCACAGCCCACAGGCTTATAATCTGAAAATACATGACATAAGGAAAAGACCTGGCAGTATCGCACCCTCCCCATTTCCAAGTGATGATAGATTTACTGGAGCAGATCCTGACATACCATCACCATGCTTCTGTATCCTTGCTTCCTTCTTCAGCAATCTGTTTCCAAGGAGTACAGAAAATATTCTCCCTTTTAGTATTTGCATTTAGAAGCAAATGTGTATACACATCATCTTGAAAGTGTATGTGGTGAATCCTTGTCAATGACTAAGTACTTCTAAAACATTTCTGCTTTCCCAATATGTGGAAGAAATTAGTTATAGATCAAATTCTGTGTTAGTAACTTCCCCATATCAAAGCTGAAGGACCACAAAAGAATTAGGAAATGGTCCTGTCTCCAGGAGCAGTTACAGTGGGAAGACTCATTCCCTTCTCAATTGTGCTATCGCAATCTTGTGCGATCCCCTGTGGTGCTTTTACATGCAAACTACAGGATGCCATTTTCATCTTTTGGTAGAGCTGTGAATCCCTATTTTGCAAAAGTCTACTTCTCTTTAGGGA